CCCAGAAAAATATTTAAATCAATAGACTGCACTGAAAATATGCCTTCCAGGGTAGAATTATGATATTATAGCAAGTAACAGAACTATTGCCATGGGTAAACACAGAGATTAATAAACTTCCTAAGTCAATAACTCTTTCTGCTCTGGAAAAATTTGACATAGCATTATCAATGTTCAAAGCCAAAAAGACTAAAGCCTTAATTTCTGAACATCTGATGCAGGAGGTCTGAATATCAACTGTTTTTCACAAGGTGAGGTAGTCACTTCCTGAAGATCATTTCCAAGAGTGCTCAGCTATTACCACACCTCAAATATCACCTGAGGGAGAAAATCTCAGGCTTTCCTGTGAGAGACCGAAGCACACAGCAGAACACACACCAGGCTCTTCACAGCAACCCATACAACCATCACATTAAAGTCTGTCAAAACCAAGATGATGCAGGGAGTTCCCTGTGCCTAGAGTCTTGTTCCCTCATGAGCACACACATCACTCCTTAAGACTACAAATTTAGAAACAACTAATCAAAAGAAGGCACTTGATTAAAATATTAATACTGTTATCTGAGAAAAGAAAATTAATTTTGGACTCCTATGTTTGGCACTCTGAGTGAAAGAAAATGTACCATATACAGAACAAAGACTGCACAATTAGTACCTATACAGACATGAATGAAACTGCTCATGAGATTCCTACTGATTAAGCCAGGTGGGGATGTCTCAAAACTAAGATATATCCTTTGAATTTATGTTTCACTAATTAATTTTTTTACTGTGAAAACTAAGACTTTTTAACGTGAGTTCTAAAGAGAAATAATAATTCCCTCTGTAATTCCCAATAAAAATAACATACAGAACACTGAAGCCCACAAGGTGGCTAGGGTTTAATGTTTATCATTTAGTTCAACAGCAGTTAATTTTAGAATCAACATATGGAATATCTGCCCAAAAAAAACCTATTTCTCCCCTTGAAGAAGTAAATACTTTTAAAAACTATGATTTAGATAAGTACATGCCATAAGCTTATATTTTATGCAAGATGAAGATATGTATTTAGCACATATTACCTGATTTTACAGCAATTTAACACTGCATATGAATACAGGCTTGTGTTGTAAATTTGTACCTGATTTGTGAAAAATTTCTTTAACTTAATAATTTGTTAAAAGTTTGTTTAACTTAGATAATGGTAGGAGGACAAACATTCCATTGTAAAAAATAAGTCTGCAAAATAATACTATCCTACAGAAGCTCTGCCTAGAGGAACATCCCAATCCTATAATTTCCTCTTTATTTATTTATGGAAACATGAGAATTAGAAAAGCTTAACAGAAAGTGCTGAAATGGAATGCAATAAATTTAATATCTTTCTTTAACCCCAAAAAAGCAAACCCTAAAGGGCAACACAGGCTTTCTCATGGTTGGACACAGCTGAAGACACTGGCAGCAACATGCCAAATGAAATCAGATACATTCTTTAACATCTGAAGCTGATTTGAGTAAGTCCAATCCAGCTGACAAAGCCACAGCTCTGTTTTACTACTAGCCACAATTTTAGTATAGTCTACAGAAGAAAATTTCTTAAACTACCTATCTAAATTTCTGAATCTATCTTCAGTACAGCTGTAGCAAATCTTACTGAGATTCTCTTACAGAGTTCTCATTCTCTACAGCTTCACAGATGGGAGCAGAAAGGTACCAATATGGAGACAGATATATAAGGGCAGTTTCAAAATCATCTAACTGTGCTCAGTATTGTGGCCAGTCCTGTTATTGACAATCGTTATTGACAGTCTGGATGAGTGGATAGAGTGCACTGTCAGTGAGTTCATGGACAAAAACACTGAGTTGCATGGTATTGCTGATCTGCTGAAGTGTAGGAGGGATCTGGACAGACTGGGTCAATGGGCCAAGGCCAAAGGCATGCAGTTCAACAAAGCCAGGTGCTGGTCCTACACTTATGTCACAGTCTTGTTCTGGAGAAGAGTGGCTAGAAAATGGCCACACAGAAAAGGCTGAATATGAGTCAGCAGGTGCCCAGGAGGCCAAGAGGGCAAATGGCAACCTGGCTTGTAAAAGAAATAGTGTGGCCAGCAGAGTGTGTGATCATGCACCTGTACTTGTTACTAATGAGGCTGCATCTCGTATCCTGTGTTCAGTTCTGGGTCCCTCATTACAAGAAGGACTTTTAGGCGTGGGAGTGAGGCCAGAGAAATGGCACTGAAGCTGATGAAAAATCTGGAGCCCAAGTTTTATGAGGAGCAGCAGATAGAGATGCTTACTCTCTTGGCCTGGAGAAAAAGAGAATCAGGGGAGACTTTATCACAACAATATATAAAGGAAGTAGGATGCCATTTTATTTTCCCAATTAACAAGTTGACAGAAGAAAAGGAAATGGTCTCAAGTTGTACTAGGGGGAGGTTCAAGTTGCATATTAAGAAAAATTTCTTCGCTGAAAGGGTGGTTGGGCATTGGAACTGTCTTCCCAGGTAAATGGTGTTATAACCATCCCTGGAAGCATTCAGAAGTTGTATTTGTAGGTCACGTAGGGACAGTTCAGTGTCAGTTAAGTGTATGGTTTAGTGGTGAACACTGCAGTCCTGTGTTAAAGTTGATCTTGGTGAACTTGGAGGTCTTTTCCAACCTTAGTTATTCTATGTATGATTATGAGCAGCAGTGGAACTGCCAGAAAGAAAGTATTTTTAAAGTTGAGCCAATCATTTTGATACAGTTTGAAAGGTATTTCCTATCCCATTTGATTCAGATTTTTTCCCTTTTGCTCCCTTTTTTTATTTTTAAAAACCAAAAAACAATATCTGCAGACACAGCAGATGTTAAGAGAACATATAAAGAACATATAAGAGAACATATAAAGAACAGCCTCAGATGTTAAATTTGAATTTGCAAACACGAACCTTTGGACTTTTATGCCCCTTTAGTCAGAGAACAATGATGTACCACATGACTTCAAGGTCCAGCTTAAACTGACTGCTTAACACCACAACGGGGGTAAAAAGGTTCAGTTTTCTCTTAGAGATAAATAACTACTGGCAAAATTATTTGTGATGAGTCTGAATTTCTTCTTCCACAGTATGAAAAGATTGATGCATATCAAGAGACTGGCTGACTTAAGACTATACAGAGATAGTTATGCTGACAGTTGTGTTATTTTCAAGACACTAAAGTAATTGAATTATTTTTATAAACTGCAGAAGGCTTTGGATAAGACCTTAATTGTTTAATTTTTTGGTGCATTTAGCAAGCACTTGAACATTTTTATAAAGAATGATCTTAGGGAATTGGGATATTAACAAACAAAAGGAGGTAGAATTTTTAGATAAATTACCTGCTATGAGCTGTTTGCCAAAATTAGCGAAATTCCTGAATCTCTGTGGTTTCCCAGAAGTAATCATCAGCTGTCAACAGTGTACGTCAAGTTTTATTTTTAACCTTCAAAAGTAAAGACCACATTTTTAACAACACCTGCTGCCTACTACTAAATGTATTGCAACACCTTCTAAATGATATACTGTATACTGCAATTCAGGTTTAGAGTTTCAAAATTCAAATGTCAATTTAGGATCTGTTCTGCACCACATGCAGGACTGAAAAATCAAAGTCAAGAAACAGATTCTGAAAGACTGTCCACTGAAGTCTTACATAAATAGTAACTCTCACTGCAATTCTGGTATCACCTGGACTGAAATTAATACTATATGAAAGTAAGAGGGAAAAAAACCTCCTCACTTAAGATTCCTTTCATTGTCTTCAACATGTAAACTATTATTTATTATCTGTTATGTATAGACCAATTTTCAACCTTTCTGTGATTCATGGTTCTGAAATAATTTTTTAATGTAGAAGAGTTAGATTTTGAAAGTTCATCTTATGCTGGCTGCTGTGTAACTGTCCTGGTTTAGGGCAAATTTGGGAGAAAACCTCCAGTGGGGCTCCCCCTGGGAAGCAAACCCACGTGGACCTTTTCTCCCACCCCCCAACCGGCTCGGGAAGAGATTGTTCTGAGAGAAGTGGAAAAAACCTGTTTATTTCACAGGCACAGGTTTATTTCACAGCACTACTCAGCACAAAAATGAATGATATCAAATTACAAAACCTCTCGCCCTTCAGAAGAGATGACAAACTTCAGAGGGTCTCTTTCCTGGGGGTGTTCACTCTGTTATCAGTCCCTCTGGCGCTGGAAAATGCCGCTGCCCAGGCTGGGCTCCCGGTAGTCCACGGGTGCAAGCTCCCGGTGCTCCCCCGAGTCCCCAGTCCAGAGCAGGTTCGATTCGTTTCAGAAAAAGGGAAAGAAAACAGTCCAGGAAGACCTCTCTGCTCCGGCTAGTTGGAAAGCCAAGGCGATCTGTGTCTTGTTGTCTGTCTGTGCTGTAGTCAAAACTCCCGATGCGGGGGGAGCAAGTGCAGTCTGATAACAGACTCGGTGCTTCTTTTCCACTCACTTTTACTCTCAGATGAAATATTAAGAATACAAAACCTGTGTCTGGGTTAGGTGGACGAATGGGGATACAATTTAACATCATAATCCACCCCGGACAGTAACACACAATGAATTATTCCTCTAGTCAACTTTGCAAGTCATTTGAAAGAATGGGTAAGTTCCTGGAGTCCGTGGATCACAGGCTGCAATCCACTGATCTGTAGGACAGTTGTTAATGATCAGTGATGTTTTCAAGCTCACTTCCTGTCACATCTCCTGTTCAGATGGTTTGACAGTGTGTGCTTCTACATCTGCTATCTATGCACTAGTGAAATTATGAGCCAGTTTTTCTTTAAAGGACTAGGGAAAAAGGCTTTTTGTTTAATCAGTCAGTCAGCCAAATACCTCACAGCCACTTGCTCACTCTAACCCAGTGGGGTGGTGGAGAGAATAGGCCAAAAAAGCAAAATTTCTAGATTGAGATAAAGACATTTTAATAGGAAAAAAAAAGGAAGAGAAAACAATAATAATGATAAAAAATTGTAAAAAAATAAATAATGCCCCCTCAGTTGCTTACCATCTGCTGACTGATGCCCACCTGGTTCCCAAGTAGTGGGCCACCACTCCCCAGCCCCTACACAATTTCTTTTATTCAGCATGACTATGGAATATCCCTTTGGCCAGTTTGGTTCAACCATCCTGGCTCCGTGTGTACTCACAGCCTCCTCACTGGTCAGGCAGCACAGGAAGGGAAAAGGTATGGATGCTAGCTTTGGAACAGGCTGCAGGGAGCTGCAGAAACTGCAGGCCCATGGCCTCTCAGTCCTGCCTGAGAAGCTAGCCTGGGAATTCAAAGGAGGATTTCAAAACAATCCTCAGAGACAGAAAACAACTGCCAGGTGCTGTTTTTCTGTCCTTTTGTTTACCTTGCAGGAGAGAGTCAGGGGGGCAGTGTGCCACTGACCAATGATGGTAATGTAGCACTTTGCTAACCAATAAGAGTTTCTTTTCTGTACTTTCCACGTATCCGTCTATAAGACAGGCCTGAAGCAATAAACCAGGGAATTCTCGTGTTGAAACTCCCTTGAGAGTTTGTGTTGTTCTTTCTAGCCGTTCCCAATCGGAAAGACAAAAAGGTCTTTGACTTAATGCTACTCAGCAATAGCTAAAAAATCAGTGTGTTATTAACATTATTCTCATGCTAAAGCAAAACACAGCACTCAGCCAGTTACTAGAAAAAAAAAAACCTCTATTCCAGATGAAACCAACACAATAGGATCAATTCTAAACTAGGAAGTTTAGTTGTTTGCTTGTTATGTTAATCTCAGTGATAAAAGTTACCTCCTTATATAAGGGACCTGGCAGACCATAAGAGATTGGGGATGTGGTGTGAGGAGGTGGGGAAAAGTCAAAGGAAAAAAACATTGGACTTTTATGTTTGGGAGAGAACTGTGAAATTTTCAAGTTTCAAACCAAAGATTAGCCTTGAACATCCTAGCCTGCATATATTTTGCATGGAGTTCTTAGAATTAACAGGAAACATTAAAATGATGGTACATGTTATTGTGGACAAATCTATCTATCATTATTTTAAAGCAATAATAAAATAGATGACTGATGAACAGAGCATCAGAGGGTATTTTGATAACAGGTCAAAATAAGTCAAATTTTTCCTCACTGAAAAATACTAAGAAATCCAAGTCATACAAATAATTTTCATTACAGTTCACTCAAAGTTCACAGTGATCCTTGTTCAGCAATGCAGATATGACTCCAATAATTTCCAATGAAAATGGAAGAACTACATTTCTCTGTTATCTATTATTGAAGAAGAGGATGTGCTATCAGATCTGATGGCATCAGAAAAGACACAGGAAAATTCCAGAAAATATACTGTTGATCCAATTACCTTTGAAATGCTTCTATTAATTTAAACAGAAACTGGGTCAGATAATTTGTGAAGAGAATTATACAGCTTAAGATAGGAGTCTGTTCCTCCTGCATGGCATTTCACCAAATTGAAAATTATTGTGCAAGACAGGGATCAGAAAGAGAACCTGTTCTTCAGAACAGTCCAGAGTTCAGCCTGAGTATCACAAACCCAAATGCCATTTTACTTAACATAATGTCTGTGTGAACACAGACTAGAGCAAAAAGACCCAGCTACTGCTATCCCTCACTGAGTTGCTGCTTCTTCTAAACTTTGTAAAAACTATGAGACCATAAAAAAAAAAAAATTACACTTCAATACTCTCCTTACAATGGATTCAAAAACCATGCAAAAATAATTTAGAAATTAAACTCCTGTTTAATAAGGACGTAATATTTTTCTTCTTGGTTTTTTTTTTTTTCCTGTGAGCAATAGATAGAGACAAACTGATTTCCAACAATACAATAGTCATCTGCATTTTCATGAAATACAGTGCTTAAAGACTATAACTGTTCGCTTCACTGCCAAAATGGATGACTGTAAAATATAAGTAAATGCCTCCTTCAAAGCCATTTCCTTAAAGAAGGACAATTACAACTATAACACACAAACACCTCATCCTTACTATGACAAATATATGTCTCCACAATACATTATCAAAGAGTCTCTTTCATTGTCCTCTGAGTTTCTTACATGCCGGTGAAGCATTCAAAGTGGTTCAGCTATATTTAAGTGCTGAAATTTCAAAGCTCAGGGTCAAGGACAGGTCTTACCTGTTCCCTTCCTGCTGTATGAGGTCCCACCACACCAGTCCCTGCCACAAGTATTGTATGGCAATTCTAAAATTTTGAGATCCAAAATACTTCACTTCTTGGAAGTGCAAGGTGAGTATCAGTTAGAATCAACTGAGAAAATGTGAGGTTACCTCAGTAAACTGTCTGAAGTCTGGACACTTTATTACTGCCGTTCTGGATATTACTGTGACATATAATAATGTAACATAATATTATGGTGAGATAATATACAAAATAAAGTTAGTACAATATGATATTACTGTGAAAATAGTATCTAATCTTTTCCATTGAAAAATAAATGCTCAGGAGGAAATGAGGATAAATGAGACACTAGGTAGCATAGGCCTGGCTTTTACTGTAGTTAATCAGTCCGACTGGATTTGGCAATGTGTCTGTAGTCCACCACACCCATTCAGGGTGCTCAAAGTTATACTGTCTATAGCCAAACAAGCGGTCATCTCTACTCATAAATTACTTTTGTTCTCTTCTTCCTGTAATTTCCACCCATCTTAGACTCCTCTCCTCCAGCCCTAAAAGCTGATGCCATTAGCATCAAACTGGGCAGTGTGACTGCCATGTTTCTCTCCCGGCTTAAGCACTATGAGTATATTTTTTTTTCTCCCCCACTGGGAAAGCAACCCTTCAAACACATCTGTGCTTGTTTTGCATTACTTGATATTTAGTAAGAAGGAGGAAACCACCCACGGAAACTATTTTTCTGAGAGAAGCTGCTGAGAGCTTCCTCTGTGCCTAGAAAAAACAAATAGCTGGTTAGTTCTGAGAGAGACAACTGATTGAACCACTTAGAAGTTAGATCCACCTCTGTGAGGTCCACAATTTAAAAACAGACAAGCCCAGGAAAGCTCTCTCCTTGCTTCCAGAAGGTAGCAGAGCTCTGGTGGGGCCGGCCCCACTCCCCCACAGCCTGTGTGGCCTGGGGGAGGCCAGACCAGGCCCCAGCAGCTCCCAGGTGAGGGATGGAGGCTGCAGGACCCCAGGTCCAGCCCCAGGCTGGGCCAGGCCATGGCTGCTGACATCTCACCAAAACTAAGCTTTCACCCCTGGCCCACACAGAGCTGGGGTCCGCTGGGCCCCGGGCTGAGGCCCCCTCACCCCAGCAGCTGCTGGGCAAAGAGAAGGGCCCAGCATGGCCTGAAATCCAACACCATGATTGCTGTGGCTACTGCCCGTGACCATCTACAGGCCTAGGCAAGATCTAACCCTTTCACTACACTGATGAGACAGGCAGACCTTGATCCTCTCTCCCAGGGAGTGAAAAAGAGTGATGACATGTAAAAAGACAACATGAAGACACCAAGGTCAGTAAAGAAGGAGTCAAGCCTCAGATGGAAGGAGAATGAGGAGATGCCCTAAAGGGGCTGGAAGTTCTTTTGGTAGTGCCATGGAGATGGACAATGAAACACTGAAATACCCCCTTTAATTCATGAGACCGTATGGGGGAGATGAAGTATTCAAACTGTAGATGTGAGCAGAGGCATCCATGATGAAGCAAAATAGATGCTGAAGAGACTGTGATTCCATAAGAAGCTTGAACAGAGAGTGATGAAGACCCTTTGACCCCAGGGAGAGAAGAAGAAAACCTCTGTTTCCAGAGATAAAGATGATCACAGAGATAGATGAAGAGAACCTTTCCTTTTGAACAGCTCATCCTTAAATTAATACCCCATAATTTGACATTGCCCATAAACACAGTTGTAGGAGGGCTGTGAAAATGGGAGGAATTTAATGATGGGAGATTTTTTTTGCTGGACAGCTGCTATTTATGGAAATTAAAAGCCACAAGAGAACTGTTTCTCATAGAGAAGTCTCCATGGCATGGCAAGAGAAAGTTCCTCTCCCTACAAGAACTGATGAAAGACTATATTAGATTTGGAAACTGATTTAAAATCCCAGGTTTTGTCTTACATTGGCAGTTGTGAGAGAAAATAACTCAGGCAATGGGGAGAAAGTGGGTTCTGAAGGTTTTATTCTGATACTTCTTATTCTTGTAGTTCTGTAAATAAAGTTTTCTTCATACCTTTGAAGTTTTGAGCCTGTTTTGTTCTTCTCCTAATCCATACCTCACAGCAAGAAATGGGTAAGTGCACTGGTGATTTTTGTCAGCACTAAACCTACCACATTATTTGGTGCATTGGCCAGGAAACTCAAATTGGCAAATCTAAACCTCTACAACATCAAACAACCACCACTGAAGCAGTGAAATCAGACTGGCAAAAAGGTGAAGAAACACTATTCATAACCTAAGGCTCTTCTAGGTTGTGAAGAAAAAAATCTCATTTGTTTTTGCTCAGCAACTGATACCAAACCCCAAAATTTAAATGGTTTCTTAGAGGTATAGTAGAGTTGAGAAATGAAACACATGGCTCAGGGCAACCACCAACCTGTGGTTAATGCTGAACAGACAGAAGATAATGATAGATGGCAACAACAAGTAGAAAAGTGTTTTTTCTACTATCAACACCTACGTTCTTAAGAGTCCTTATCAATATGAAGGCAAGTTGCTGGTTGAAGGTATGTTGCTGGTGCCATATTCACTGTTGCTACCAAGTCGGCCAGATCTGTGCCCCAGAATGCTACCCAGGCAGAACCACAGTCGCATTTCTTCAGAACTGTATATGGGATTTTTTAAAACAATAGGGAATATTACAGCCTGTAAAGACAGCCTATTTCAGTTCCTCTTTTTGAATAATTTAACTCTGTGTTCTTTCCTGAAGTAATATACCTATAACTTTTTCCCTCCCTGAATCCAAAGGTAGACACTTAAAATATGCCAAAAGAATCTGTAGGACTTCTATTGGCTGGGAAGACACCTTAATGTGAATACCTTCAAATACCACAACCAAGTATTTTTGATAAAGTAAGGCAGATACTTATTTTACAGTGGATTTTTGTCCTTTTAAGGATGCACTGTACTTTTCAACTGGCAGAAGCTATTGCAGGTGATGAGGAGCAGCCAGTTTGGACATTTTGCAATGGCAGCAGTCATCAGCAATAACATATACAATATGTTCCTTTTGACACTTAAGCAACATTTCCCTAGGCATTTGCTGACAGCTGACGTTGAACCTTGTTATCCTGCTGTGTATGTGGTCACAAAGAAGAAAAATACAGAGCTCTAGTCAGGGTAATTTGTATGATTACTTTGGTTTCTCTGTGTTCACAGATGAAATAGTAGCAAGCCAGAGGACTGTTGTGTTTCCTCTGCAGACCTTCTCCAAGTAAAAATTCTGATACATAGAAATACATACTTTCTGTGATCCAAATAGATAAAAACCTGTTTTGGATCCTTCCTCCTTCTCCATAAGCAATTCTCTATCTGTGCCTTTTAATTGCCACTGTATTTGCTTGTAACACCTGAAGCTAACCTTAGGATCTGGAAGAATGAATTCAGGATGATTATTTATAAAATTCAGCTTTAACTCAAATTAATTCTGAAATTGCCTTCCCTTATTATGCTCCTTAGGGCCATCAACCACGTCACTTCATTGATATTTATTTTTCTCACGTTATTCAGTGCTGTTGCGTTACTTTTTCTGCCCTTGATCAAAACCAAACAAGCCCTTTCTGTGACTGGCAGAGCTATCTTATTTTCTTTATAGCTCCCAGAATTTAGGGTGACATAAGTATATGCAGCTGCAGGATCTGCATGAGAGTCTGTCAGTCACTGGATTAGACTGAACATGGATTCTGGAGAGGCATCTGAGCAACACTGACATCAGAAAACAGTTACAGAAAAACATGGCAGAAGAAGTAGCATTATTTGCCTAAAAATAATATAGAGTCCCAGGTTGGAAATAAAGTGCAAATAAGGTGAGTAAAATGTCAGGGATGCTTGGATATATCAGTTACTTACTGATTCACAACAGGAATAGTGAAAGATCAAAAAATAAGTTGCAAAATAAAATGCAGTAGAATAATAAAATTACAAAAACACAAAGAGAGTTCTAGGCCATTTTCTTCTAAATTTGTTTACTTTTTCAATTTCTTTACATTTCAGTGATAATTCTTAAATGTGCCCATTGGGACAGGTGTTTTCTTAGTATCTTTACATCAGCTTATCCTCAAATGTATTCATATTACAACGGGTAGTATTGTAGGAATTTATTTAATAAGTTTATAGATGAACATGCATTGGCTTTTACTTAAAAACTGTTTCTTGATCTCTTAGTTTTATCATGAAGCTGCTATAAAGTCAGAGTCACAAGACAGCATAACTATTTCTTAACAAGATATACAAATCATAATTTACTTCTTCATCTAGATCTATTCCATCCAAAGAAATAAAATTAAAAAGAATGTGTCACTGGGAATACAAATAAGCAATACAGAGCAGCCCTAAAAGTGCTGTAATTAATATAACAAATGATGGTGGAAAAAGGTATTTTTAACAGCAGGTAACAATATTGATGAGATTAAATTGAATTAACCTGGTAAATATTGTTGGTATCTAACAGCTGATAAAACCCACGAATATTAAG